ACAAAATAGTTTTGTTTGACAAACCCAAATTAAAGGGAAAAACACAGCAGCAAATTTACAAGAAGTTAAAGTTTAAAAACTATAAAAATTATATATGTAAGACTAATTAAAACTAAGATGTAAATTTTCGTAATTAATAAAATTAAGCCACTTATGTATTAAGAAAATAGTTATTTGTATTCAATTTTTTTTTTGTTAATGGATTCAAAAGGGAATAGTTTGTGTAAATATCGAGAAAGCCACTTGAGACAAAATAATATGTAATTTTTGTTATCGTAATTGGCGCAAAGTGGCAAGCATTTGAATATGTATGAGAAAAGAAAGGTGGATAGAGAAATTTAAATTTTAGTGCAGAGATTTCCATTTCGTTAACAATATAGTGTACATAATTGTTCGTTTTTTTTAATTTTTTTTTTTTTAATTTCCCAAATAGATTGAAAAGTACACAATATCCTACAAAAAAACATGTTGTTCGCGCTTAAACTATTTTTAGATAATTCAATTTCCAACACTTTCACCAAGCTTTGCTTCAATTCAACTCTCTTCAAAGTGCTCAAATTCTCGCTAAATTTGAGTTGAGTACCATAGATATTTTCTAATTTTTTTTCTTTGAAATTCTCCTGCGCTAATTTTATATATATAATTTCTACACTAACAATTATTGTAAACTGTTTTAAGTCATCATATATGTATGTATGTATATATGTATGCACTAAGGCTATTTATATATAATTATATATTAAAAAAACAACATGTCTAAATAATCAAAAATGACTTGAAAATATGCGATTATTGGTTGTTGTGTTTGTTATGGTTGTTGTTTTAGTTTTTGTTTTTCTTAGTATACTTTCTTAGTAGCAATTGCCTTCCCACGACCTCAAAATTGCTAAATACAATGTATTTTTGCTTTTTTATTCTGTTATTTTTCTTCGCTTCATTTCACTTCAATAAAAGTCTTACAAATGTATGTATATGTAATATGTATGTACATTTACAATTAAAATTTGTAAAAAATTAAAATATAAATAAAAAAAAATATTCAAATTAAAAATTTATTGATATATCATTAAAAATTGCAATAAAAATTCTTAGGTAGCTTTTCGTTAATTCTTTTTTGTTTTTTTTTTAATTTTTGTTATTGTTCGTGTTTTACATACATATTTAATTTGTAAATATATAATAATAGATTTTAAAATTTCTGTCTCTTCGTTAATATGAAAATAAAATAAATTTAAAATTATGAATAATACAAAAAATGACAAGAAAATATTTGAAACACACAAGTTGCTAGTATGTTTTTTTTGTTGTTGATTTTCTTTCATTTACAACAATTAATAAAAAAAAAATCGCAAAAGCTTAAAAACGGGAAAAAGAAAAATAAAGTAATAATATGGGTATTCAGGGAAACGTGTAAATGCCTTGTAACCGCGCAAATCTCGTAAATAATTCGATTTTCCATACAAAATTAAGTAAGTTTACAAGGCTTACATGGTTACGAGGCATTTGCGCGTTTTCTTGAATTACTCTAATATTGTTTAAAATAAGCTGGGGCGGACGCAACATTAAGGCCTTTTGTTAAATAAAAAAGGTATTCATTTTTGTTTTTTGTTTTTTTTACATGGAATTCGTTGCCAACCGCCGCAACCGTCAACAATGCCAATGTTGTAAAAGTAAAGTATTTACACATTTGCATTTGTTTGTGTGTGAGTAAATTTAATGATGTTCTCAATAAAATGTAGGTATGATTGTATACATATTTGTATGTAATATTTAATATTGAATTTATATATCGAAAAACAAACATGTTTTATACATAACAATTGAAAGTCGGATTAAAATAAATGTTAAAGATTTACAGCGCATTAAAGAAAATATGTAAAATATTTCGCTTTGCTTTAAAATGTATGTGGTAGGCTATGTAATAATTAATATTTAAATTGTTGTTTAAAATATTAGATAATAATAATAAAAATAATGTCTTGGAAAACCAGCCTTTTTTATGTTGTTTTTGTTTTGTTGTTATTGAATTCGTTTTCTCTCATTTTGTATGTGTTAAAGACTATAAATGTATTTATTTGCATGAAGGCTATTTTAATTGCTCTTCCATTACCGACCATTTGAAGAATAAAAATAAATCCCGCTTTTACACTAATTGAATTGTATGCCGTTTTTATTTTTTTTTAGATTTGTAAGATTACACGCTAAAATTCACTGTCGCTTGTTCTTGCATAGCACGACTGTTTAAAATAAAAATAAAAAGTGTGTATTTAAAGGACTTCGCAAGTACATATTTCAAAATAACAAAAGTTTACCTTTTTATTATTTTCACTTTTAAATATTTAAATTTTACATTAATCACTCCATCACGGCACTGCATATTATTGACTTGCCAACTCTTGCATACGTATAACAAGAAACGTAAACAGTGTGAAACTTAAAGGAATTGCCAGTTTTATAAATGCTTTATTTAGGTTTAATGAAAATTAAACGCCATCCTTGTTGTTACAATTGAATTTGAAAACATAATACTCAAGCTCATAAACACATGGGTAGCGCGCGCAGGGCGGTCGTGTGATCGTCAAGTGATTGCTAAACAACAAAAACATTTAATTTGCACAAATGGATCTCTCAATTTTTTGCTAAATTTTGACCAAGCGATAACCAATTTCTGATTCCCAACTACAACTTTTGCTAATGCATTTGTCAATGCTTAAATTTTATCACAGAATTATTCTTGGCAACATTAATTTTTATTAAGAAAAAATAATTTTGATAATTTTATGTAACGTTTTTGTTATCATATTTTTTCAACTACTTCCAAAAATTTTTTTTTTCAAATATTCACTTGGAATGTGCCTTCCGAAATGGTCTCTTGAAAGTATTCCATTCGAATTGTTTTTTTGTGTTTATGAGTTATTTGCAATATTTAACCATTATTTTAAGCGTTTTTTGAATCACCTGTCGCTCAAACACTCTTTCACAACCAACTGCACGCCGGCGCTATTTGTAAAAAGTCTGCGAAGAGTGTTACGTTTTTCTTCGTAAATTAAAAAAAAAAAAGAAAAAAGCAAGAAAAAGCGAACTTATGACTGATTTTTGGCGAAGCATAATCCTTCTTTGTGGTATATATTTGAAAAAGCAATAAAACTTGGAAAAGAGATCAAAAACAATATACTATGTCTGTATGTTAAAGCTTATTCTTTTCTAAATTAAACAAGTTGTGTGTATAACATTCTTAATTTTTTTTTTGGTGATATCTACCGTAATTTCAAAATGGTTTTCTTCGTTTGAGATTTCAAATTGTCTACGCGCAGTGTTGTGTATTGGTGTTATCATGTATTTTGCTTGTGTATGTTTGTATATAATTATTTGTTTCTTTTTCTAATTGCTAAAAATAGATTTTTTCATTTACATTTACTCACAAAATCGTATTTTGCATGGGGCGAAATCTCCACTTATGTATTATAGGCATTTCTTAATAATCGAATAATTCGCTTTCACTGGTTCATTTATATATAAATATGTACATATACGTATATATAAATTGTATTTGTATTATGGTTTGGCCGCTTTAAAGCAATTACCTGCTAAAAGCACGCTTGCTATCCATCAAATCTGCGTTCCGCTTTACTGTCTTGGCAGCGCACATTAGTGTTGACCGTGGGGCGGTGGCTGTGGCAAGGCTCTATCAGCAGCAACTCCAACCCCAGCAGCCGTCGCACCTACACCATTCATCATCAACCAGAGGCTAGATTTATTATCCGTTGAACGTTGTAGCGCACTACCGCCGCCGCGCGCGCTGCTGCTGCTGCTAGTATGCATTTGATTGTTGTTGCTATGTATGGCACTACCCATAATACTAGCGCTGTTTAAACTACTGCTGTTGCTGTTGTTGTTGCTGAGGCTGCTGATAATGGTGGGTTGCATGATAATGGTGATTATGTGGTTGGGGTGGATGGTTATATTGCTGCTGTTGCTGATAAGTGTGGGGATGAAGATTATTGACATTGTGATTGTTATTATTGCTACTGCTGCTGCTTGTGCTGCCGCTGTTATTCGTTGTATATCTATTGCTGCTGATGGCTTGTTGACTGCGATAATGCCGCAGTTAACGCTTTCATAGGCACTGCCACTGCTGCCAACGCCAACGCCACCGCCACTACCATTTCCATTGGATACATTCATTGGAAAATTGCTTACGTTACCCCCAGTAGTGTTGTTGTTATTGCTGCTGCCGCTGATACAACTGCTAGTTGTGGTTTTGATCTGCGATCAGTGAACGTAAAGCGTGTTAAGTACCAGCACATGGTGATTATTTTTGGCCAAAGTGACCACATAGCCTTCGGAAGTTATCTTTAAGCCGCAACAGCGCGAAACCTTTAAAACAAAGAAAATAAGAGGCATGTAAAAATAAAATTCAAAGAAGAAACTAATCATACAAAATAGATGATGTATATTTTTGTTGTTCAAAACAAGAGTAGAAAAAAATAATGACCGTGCTGACTTTGCCTACGTTTTTGTTTGAAATATTTTTCAAACATATATTTTATAATTTTACAGTCATTTATCTAAGATCAGGTGAATCATATAAACCATTATTTATGTTTTGACTAAATTTTCACTTACCTTAACATGAGGACACTCAAATTCTGATTGTAAAATACCATCACGCGAATAGCAGGCCACATGGAAGCGATTGCCATGCGAGTCACCAATCAAAATATCACCAGCATTTGAAATATCGATGCCATTGGGGAAGCAAGTGACCTTCTCATTACCAATGCGATATTGGAAAGTACCATCCTCCTGGAAGACAGCAACGCAGTGACCTTTGAAGTCGCACACATAAAAATCGTTATCTAGAGAAAACATTAAAACAATAATTATTAGTCAGTTGACAGACTGAATTAAGTTAAAAATATTAAGTTAAAATTTTTATTACACTTTACCTCGTATGGCAATATCTGAGGGTTCACGCATGTAATCACTGCAATCGAACCAACGCACCAATTCACCATCCTCTGATATGACGAATACTGTTGGTGAGACACTGTCTACAGCCACAATATGACCCTTTGAAGTTACGGCCAAGCCAGCGACAATATCGATATATCTGTCACAGGTATTAAAATAGGGTAATTAGTAATTTTATCTTAAGCTAATTTTCATCTAAAACACTTTCTCTCAACATACCTAATGGCAATCTTTCGCATAAAATGTCCACATTTTGAGAAGATCTGCATGCGCGAACGTTCGTTGCCGCGATCGCAGACGACAAATTTGCCATTTGTGTGCATGACGGCCACTTTACGTGGATACCATAGTTGGCCTTCCTCTTTGCCGGGTACACCAAATTGGAATTTAAGTGTGCCAGTTTTGTCAAACACTTCGATGCGATGATTATTTGTATCGGCAACGATAATTTCCTCGTCAACGCCCAAACAAAAACCATGTGGAGAATTAAATTGACCCTTTGAGGTGCCAAGTGAACCAAATTTGCAACGAATCTGCATGGGTGTAGCTTTGTTACGTCCGGTAACGATGTTGGTTGTGCCCGGTGCGGCGCCAGCATGAAAATTTGTAATGGACATTTCGTCGACGGGTCCAGCACCGAGTGGCCCTAGAGTTGAGAGGCTGGGCGATGTGGCTGCGGGTAGGCAGAAATCTGGTAATATACAATCAATTCCGGGTGAAGCTCCGCTCGATAAAAGCTGATTCATGTCTGTGTGAAAATCTACTTGTATTATGCCAACAACAACAGAAAACGAAACGACGTGGTAAATAATATACGACGTGGTGTAGTGGGTCGGCAAACACATTGGCATTGTTTTTTTTGTTTTTTTTTTTTTGTTTAAGTTGAGTTTATTTTTATTCATATATATATATTTTTTGTTTGTGGATTTGTGTGGATGGTGTGGCAAGTAGGCAGAGCGGAATCAAGCGGAGCGATGCGTAAGGACGTTTGGCAAATTTTGAAGGAAATTGGTGGTTATAATAGTAGTGATTGTGGTAGTGGTTGTTTGGAAGTCGTGTGGAAGCCATTTAAAAATCATATATAACAAAGAAAGGATAAAAAGGTAAAAAGAAATAAAGAAAATCAGGAAAAACATACATTACCAAATTCTAAGTAACTTAAAATATAGACGAACTTAAGTTTTAAACANAAATTTATAACTTCAGGTGTAGAGTTCACCCATTATCTATCGGAATCTGGTAAGATATTAATAAAACATGGCCAATCCACGTCAAGACATTATTGACGTCCTACACGAAGCCCAAGTGGACTTTCCACCATCTGCTACCACGGCCCAGCTACGTAATTTATTGCGAAATGTGGTGGGCGGACATAGCAGTGCTGCTAGTGGAATGTCTTCCAATGCCGATTGTGGTGTACCCGATGATGTTGATACTATTACTAATGCCGATGCCGATGCCGTCCCCAATGCCGCTACTGACGTCGATGATTGTGCCGCTGATATGAACATACGGGCCACTGCCGTGCCTATAACTACTGCCGATGCTGTGTATGGTGCTGATGCCGTTCCCCCTGCCGTTACCGTCTCTTCTGTCGTTGCCGCTGCCGCTATTACTGATGTCGTCACTGCCTCTTCTGCCGCCATTACTGATGTCGTTACTGCCTCTTCTGCCGCTGCCAGCACCGCTCCCAATGCCGTTCCCAGGCTCGCAGATTTAGACCGGGAGGTGCTAGCACTGAAAAAGAGACTGGAGATGCTGAAATTAATGCAGCAAATTGAAGAATTGGAAAATCGGTCAGCGACGAAATGCCATCGAAAGCTTG